CTTGGACCTCAGGCCCTTCACCCCCTGCCCCCCAGCTGAAAAGAAATATATATGTAAAAATAAAACAGGGTACTCACCTGCTCTCCTCAGTAATGTGGCAGTGTCCCCTGGAGCTCTCCAGATACCTCCACAGTGGGCACGAGGGAGCAGCGTAGAGCCGGGACTCCTGGGTCCCTGCCCCCACTTCGCCAGGGGATCCCCTTGGGCAAGGTTTCTAGCTTCCCTGTGCTTCAAATTCCTTCTCTCTAAAATAGGAAGGCTAATAGGACTTTGCTCCTCTTGTTGTCAAAATGATCGGATGAGTTAATATGCATGTCAAACACTGAGAATGCGGCCTGGCACATATTAGGTGCTAAATAAGTGTTAGTTCTTTTATTACCTGCTGTATCTTTCTCTAAGGGGAGCATCATGGGGCACAGAAAACAGAGATGTTGAGTAAGTTGCCTGAGGCCACGTAGCAATTCTGTGGCAAAGCCAGTCTTCCTGTGGGCTAGCCTGCTTTACAGGTATATGTGAGAGTGCCCCTCTTTCTCATTGCTAGGTGAGACCTCTTCCTGGTCCCTATCTACGATGGCCAACTTTGTTCCTTTGGCATGATGGAGAGGTGGCTGCTTAGGGGCTGAAGGGCACCATCCTTCCGCCTGCCCTGTTGACACCTGCCACTGACCCCCTAGCCTTTGCCTTGTCCCCCCAGACCCCATCATCCTGCCTCTCGCCGCTTTGTTCCCAGCTGACCCCACTGCCCCTGTTGATTTCTCCTCCCACCCCTGGCAGTCAGAGATGGTCAGGCTCAGAGACAAATGTCCCCACGATGTCAAAACTCACTGTTAGCTTGTCATCTCACTGCCCAAGCTTCTCCCCTTCTCCCCTCTGACCTCAATGCACTCCCTGGCATTTCTTCATTCTTCGTCTGTGCACGTGTTGGGAAGGCAGCAGGTGAACGCCTGAGCAGGCCTGCCTTGCCCCATCCTTGTCAGGCCCAGCCAGTGAGCAATCCCGCTGGGTCATGGAGGCGGCCTCCAGGCACTGGGTGTGAGCGGCCCCTAATGTGGGGCTGCCGGCTTCCCCACCGGACATCAGCATATACAACCACTCACAATCCTGCTTCACTGGATGCTTCAGAGCTCCCCAAACAGTGGTTTTGTCTCCAGAGGACACAGCCTTCATGCCGTAAAAGTGGTTTTAAAAAGAACAAGTAACCTGTCAGCATGCCCCCTCTCCCTGACCCCTCCACTCAGCCCCCTCCCAGTCTCCACGTACCACACTGGTGGCCCAAGGCCATCTACCAGGCCTCCGAGGGTGGCAAACCTGTTCCGAGAATATGGGCCCTGCTTGGTATGTGACAGATGACACGTGCCCCTGATGCTCTGCCCAGCAGCCCGTGTGGGGCTCTCAGCTGCTGATTATCGGCAGGGTCTATAAAATAAAATTTAAAAATGAACAATGCTGCTGCAGGGGGTTCTTTCCTGGCTGATTTCCCTCCC